CATGTTTATCAAATAAAGTCCATGTTTATCAAATAAAGTCTAATGTTATAACTAATCGTGGATCYCTTTAAAAAGTGGCTGATAAGACAGGACTTCAGTTATAGGTCAGTAATAGTTAAAATAGGATGTAACATTTATCACTTTCATGTTCGATGAGGACGACTGGATGCTTTACCAATGTTCACAGCTCAAGATCAAATTCATTCATTCACTGTTACATTTATTGTCTACTTGCACATTTWTTTTGTTTTGAGTTGAGCACTGCACATTTTTGATACTTTTTATTTTTAAACTATAAAATGACAAAATGGGTGTAAAAATAGATGTTTGATCCTCRTAGATCATTGCCACAGGTAATGAGTTTAAATATAGAGTAGGAATATTCACTGCTAATAACGAGACACAAGAAATATGACATGATTAGGAACGAAATGATAAAAATATGATTGGAGCTTGGAAAGTGTGGAGTCATTGCTTAAAAAAAACACAAAAAAAATCAAGTTTCATTTTGGTGCAGAGTGGCTTTGGCTCTGTTGTGTAGCTCTTTCGGATGATCGTGTTCTGAATGACGTTTGTTTTTGTTTACCCGCTGAGGAGGCTGAAACGGATTTGTTAAGCTGCCTTACACACCGCAGATGCAGTACTYGTGCGTCTTCTGTTTTTTTTTGCAGGAACGTTGGATTGTTGACGAAGGCGAATAGCGCCACTCTTGATTTTGTGACCYGTTTAATCAGACACGGAAGTTTCGTGCAGCTGTTTGTGACGTCGTTTTTACTCCTTGTGTCTTGCTTTTCGTCCGTGTTAAAGAAAAAAAAAAAGGATTGTCAGATTCATACGGTAACATTCCTGATTGGTATTGTTGCCACCGTGTACCTGCCTGGTACTTGTGACAAGCGTACTTGTTAATGTTTTAAGGGCTTCAATAAAACCTGGTGATTAAGGAACGTATCTTTCTTTAGGCTAAATGGTAGGAAGTTTTGTTTTTTTATGCTTTAGCGCTGTACAGCTAGGAACTATGCAGTGTAAGAAGAGGCCCTTATATATGTCTTAACTCATCTGGTTAGATTACATGCCTTTCTCTCCTTTTGGTTTAAAGCAGTTTACACATATTTGCTCAAACAAATCGCTGCTTTTCAGCTGCATGTGAAAATAAATTTACTGATTAAGATGTCACTTGTGCAGGCACATAAATGGGTGCATGCATACAGCATGTCAGCTTGTGTAAGCTAAACACCAGGTCACCTCTGCTAATCAGTCCGGTTAAAGGACTATTACAAGCATTTTAGGGTGGCGTTATGAACAAATACCATCTTACCTGTTGTGGATAGCTCTTAGACCAACGTCGCTCCATAAAGTTCTGACCAATTGACGAGCTAATGGCTAGTCTGCCTGCAGCCAGGAYGMWAGTGGATTGCTGTCATCTTAAAATGGCATCGATCTCCAAAGTTTTATAGAGGTTCGCATAAATGCTGGTTTATAAAACCAAATGTTGGCTTTTAAACCTTTAAACTGTTAGCAGTTTCTCATTACACCATTATTTTTGGCAGAAATCCTACAAAATTCTTGTCAGAAGTGCCTGAYGTGCCACAGCTTGTTACTGCTGGAACTGTTTGCACTCATCGTCCCACAGGATTCAGTGTAAGCAACCATATAATGCAAAATAACGGCCTGAAAAAGTTACATAAACTGCAAGGAAAGCTTAAAGTCTGCAGCAATCCACTCTCATCTTGGCTGTTTCTGGAGTCCAGTCAGCATAAAATCGTTTTTTCCAAACTGAGGTSGAACTAAGAGCTATCTTAACAGGTGAGATAAAGAATTCAAAATGTCTTATCTATCCCTTTAAATCTCCTGGTGTTGTARTAAATGTAGACACTTTATTGATTGACAGTTACTTTTACAGCCAGAGTTCGACTTTGTCGTGTAAAAATTCCAACTTTTGAATCCTTCGTACTTGATAATGTGGAATTATTCATCATAGGTCAACAGTGGGAGGACGCTGAGGATTGTGTTTTTTTTGCTTTGTTAGGTGTTGTGAGAGGCAGTTTAGTGTGTGCTTTGTGGTGTAACATAAGCTGGTAAATGAAAGGTGACTACACTGCGGAGGTTTCCACTCACATAGCTCTTCTTGATCAGTATTAGAAAAACTATGTTTAAACAAATTTAAACCCGCTACTGGCTTTCTAAATAGGAATTTTATCTTTGCTGGATGCTTCAACGCTTAATTAAATAGCTTGATGTTTTAAAAAAACAATTTTAAGGATGTTTTGTGCTTTTGTAATTTGGTAACATAGAACATAACAGAAAATAACAATAATTTGTTGTAGAAACTGACACTTTTGAGTTAAATATTATCAAAGGGAACTGTAGCGACTTGTTGGAAGTGCTGTTTATAGGTTTTCTTGTATCAGTCAAACTCTCAAAAACCTTGACTCCAAATGATCTCAGGATTGTGCTTAGAGCAGTTTAGGCAAGTTAGGAAGTTGTGGGGACAAAATAAACACTCCATTTATAAAATTAAGGTTATTACTATATGTATAATGTTCACTCTGTTGCACCAGATTTTATTGGGCAAATCAGTCAGTTAACTTTTGCACGGTCAGTCGTAGTTCAGACATGAATCAACACTTTGCTTTTTGTTGCTTCTAAGAATACAATTTGTGATTTAAAAAAATGTATTTTTTTGTTTTGTTTCGACACACTGAGCTTCCATCAGTGAATCGAAGGCGTTTGCGATGTCATGAGGTCAACTTTAACTTTTCCAACATTTGTGATGAAAGCAGATGATTTTGTCCTGAAGTCATGTTTGACAAGCTGTTGGCTTTTAATTGAACTGCCTTACAGTTGTCCTGGTGATTTACTGTACATGTTGCCACCGGTGTCAAGAAAACCGTAGAATTTTGCCCTTTATGACTTTTATTTWAATTTTTTTTCTTGAGGCAAGACCCACATCGATGTGTTTAGCCTGTGGAGATGAAGTTTTGGATATCAGAATAATGCCTTGATGCCTTTWTGTTGTCTTCCAAATGGAAGGCTTACAATGTAAATAATAAACTGTATTTATAAAGATACTAACAAACAACTTTTTCTGTGTGTTTTCTTCGCCTTATAGATGTTAGCTGTGATGGTGTGCTTTGTTTCATATTTATGCATGTATAATTAATTTATCAGGACTGCTCTAGCTCTTTTAACAGCCAAGACAGGTCAAATAAAAGGCCCATCAATAATTAAATAGAATCTGGTGTAAATGAGCAGCACCTGTTAGCAGCTCMGGCTTGTTCATTTGTTTCCAGCAAACGGCTGACTTTCAGGTATTCTGGTCATTCTGAAGGTTTGGGGGAAAACATACAAAGAAATAACATCTTACCAGTTGTAGATGGCTTTTTGAACAACCTCAGTTAAGTCGACAAGCTAACAGTCAGAATACAGCCAAAACCACACTGTTTTAAAATGGCTCCAATCTCCAAAATGAATGTTTTCTAAACTTTGAAATTGTTGTTAATTTTGCATTAAAGGCAGAGGTCTATGAAGTACCTGGGGGGGGGGGTGGTTAAGTAAAAGTAAAATTACATGAACAGAAAATGACTTTGGTAAAAATAAATATCACTGTTGAGAAAACTACTCAAAAGTCATAAAAACTGTTCACAAAAATGGGAAAAATAAAAGTACTTTTACACACTCTCTAATAAATAAACTGTTGAATTTGCTGAACCAAACTGGCTAAGCCAGAATGAGTAAACTGAGCACTAAATGTATATTCTTTGCTCAGTTTACTTGACTAATCTTAGTGGAGCCAGCTGACATGAATTTGTTGAGTAAATTCAACACTTCATTTTTTAGAGTGCAGAAATGATTAAAAGTCTTGATGAATTCAATCATATTTAATTTTGTAAGAAGTTACTAGGTGTTGCATTTTAAAGTAAAGAAGTAAAAGTATCATTTTTAACAAAGTAAAAGTAGCTATTTAAAAATAATTGGTAAAATTACAAATCCTCAAAAAAAAACAACTAAGTACTGTAAAAAAGTAAATGTACTTAGTTACTATAAACCTCTGATTACAGGGTTATTTCAGTAGAAATATTCTGAAATTCCGTGAAGGGGTCTTTGTAGTCACTAGTGGGTGTTACTTGGGTGTGGGCCTAGTTTGGGTAAACAGACTGTTCAAATTTGCTTGTGGGGTAAGTTAAAAAATGTGATGTATCTTTATTGACTTTATATACAGTACTTTAAAACTCTGGAAACCGAGAGTGGATGTTT